CCCCAAAACCCCAAAACCCCAAAACCCCAAAACCCCTTTTCAAATTATCCAAATTGAGGCATTAATTAGAATGCACTTCCAACATCCATGCTGTCAACCTGTGACTTAAGCAACTTCTTTTCCTTAGCGATGACTTCTGTGTATTCCTTCTTGAGACCTCTGAGGAATTTGGAAAATACTCCAAAGCTTTCTCTTAAGCTTGGGACTGTCTTGAAACTTTCAATGGGATCTTCTCCTTTGCTTGCCATGGCATCGTACTCATTCATGGCATTTAACAAGGTTGGTCAATTTCAAGGGTCGAATTCATCTACCTTAGATGGATCGAAAGGAACACAGATTTTTCCTGTCTTCGGATGCACACAGAAAGGAGATTTCAGTAAGTGATTAATTCCCTTAGAGACATTTGCATCTATCCTTGGGTAAAGGAAAGTAATCATTGCTGAAGTGACATAATCTGTTCTGTATGACTTGCGCAATTTCCCCCCTTTGTCTCCAGCAATTTCAGTGAAGATGTTCCAAAGCTTAACGCTGTTTTCTTGATCTTCGTAATCGGTATATCTGTCCCAATTAGTCTTAAGATGATTTCTTACGTCTTCTTCTGGAAGCATCTCAATAAGCTTCTTTCTTTGCTCTTCTTTAGAGAGAATATTTTGTCCTCTCATCATAATATCTGTAAATTCTTCTTTTATAATATCTTTAGCTCTTGAAATAGCTGGGTGTGCTACAAAATCAATCTTTGCTGTTGTGCTCCCCATCTCATTTCCTACATGAACAGTAAGATAATTTGCTATAGCTGATCTAGCTTCATTGGTCAATTTTCTGGTAGATGGATCACAGACCCAACAATGTACTCCTCTTCTACCTGAAAAAACCCAAAGGAGATGCTTATACCCGAAATCTTCTCTCATAACCTTATCAATGATCTTGGTTGCAATTGACATGAACCTCCATCACTTCAGACATACATTGGCGCCTTCGCAGCAAGTTCTTACATCATCATAATCAGTCATATCAATATCAAAAACAAGTTCCTTCTCTTGTGGGATAAAAGCTCTCGATTCTACAGAGCTATGATTCTTGGGAGGCATGTTGAACACAGCTCCAATATCTATCTTCTCAGGAGATTTTTCAATAAGAGTCTGCTTAAACTCCTCTTCATTCTTAAAGCAGTTGTACCTAACGTAAATGCCACCCTCAAGTGTAAAGGAGAACTCACGCCTATAGAAATAATCTGATTTTGGTTTTCCCTCTGTATCTTTCATTTCTGGTTGGTAGTAAGTAAGCCAGTCATACATTCCCTTGGATGGGAACAGCAGTTCAAAGTATTTCTTGAGAAGCTCTACGGAGAACTCAATTTCTCCATGGGTATCAATAGCCATCTCTTCTTCCATTTTCCCGCAAATTATTTATTTAATTTCTCTACTAAATTATTCTTAAATGGGGTTTTGGGGTTTTGGGGTTTTGGGGTTTTGGGG